CTTTGCTACTAGGAGCAAGGACGCTACTAGGGGCTCCTGGCATTGCTACTAGGAGCAAGGACGCTACTAGGGGGTTCTGGCATTGCTACTAGGAGCAAGGACGCTACTAGGGGCTCCTGGCATCGCTACTGGGAGCAAGAACGGTGGCAAAGGCCTGTGCTCAGTGACGGTTTTTCTTGCGCTTCTCGAGATTCATGTGTTTCTTCCTGATCTGCGAACTACCTTCCATAAACACACCATCATCTCTCATCCTTTTCGAGCGACGCGAATTCATGCATCAGTTTTCATGCTTCGCTTAACTTGTTTATCTTGGAATCGTTTTATGTTAAAACTTCCCATCACAAGGCTCGGCTTTTCGCACCTTCTTGCACTCCCTGCGCATCATCCAGTTCCAGCACATCATGGAGAGCCGCAACCCCCAAGGGGAGTAAACGCCACATGGCATGAAATAGATCAAAGAGCTGCGGTCAAGATACAATTCACAAGTGCAACTAAACTTATCAGAAATCCTTTCCACAATCCGATGTCTTACAGAATTTGACACGTAAAACCATGCGCCGGCGTTGTTCGACATGGCGAGATGCAAAAAGTGCATGGCAAGCGGGGGTCGCAAGCGGCGGGTCTGTATATGTTTGTCGGGCCTGTGTGGCCAGCTGCGCCAGTGGGGGTGCCTCAAGAACGCTGACGCTGGCTCAGCTTGCAACTCTTCCGCTAGCATTCTATGGAAAGAAGCATTCTGGTTGGAAGTAAGGGATTGCCAAAACTAAGACCATCTTAGACCTAAGACCTAAGGTGCTTAAAAGTGTTATCTTTCGTAGTTGTGCTCTGCCTTCTTCTGTTTGTTCCCGTTGTTGCCGTGGTGTTTCATCTCTGATGATCACTAGGTTAGATTGCGCCAGCAAAGTAGATGAGGCTTCTATGGCCACCTTCTGCTCAGGGTTAAAACCAGTTGCAAAACAACGGAATCGGAAAGTGTCTCCGAAAGTGTCTCGCTATTAGGTTGGAGGTCATTCCTATTAGGTTGGAGGCCATCGCTTCTAGGTTGGGCCATCGGTATTAGGTTGGAGGCCACCACTTGCAAAACAACAGAATGTGGAAAGTGCCTCGGAAGTGCGTGTTTCCTTAAGGGGCTGGCTGACGGTCTTGGGGCTCCCATAGTTGCAGACAGCCTAGGGCCTGAGCCACGTGCCTGGGACCAAAGAATTGTGGATCAAATGAACACAAAAGGAGGAAACACAATCACGAGTCTCATTTAGTCACTGAGCTGAGTGAACTATGAATCAATGTACCTCTACAGATGTATATAAAGTGCTTTGAACTCTTATTGCTGTGCAACATCTTGTCACGTGGGTCTCGGTTCGCCTCAAACTTGATACTGAAGGCTGCCCTCACAATTGCCTCCAAAGGGAGAGTGAAGGACCGCATCGGCCAAAAACATGTCTACGACGATTTGCAATTGTATCGTTTCCAACACATCGGATTCTAACAGTTTTACAGCAGGACGAAAGAAAAGGTCGGACCTCAACCAGCCTCAGGCATTCCGACCTACAAAACGTCAGACAGGCGCAAGGTACCGAGCTGGCCGCCGTGTTGGAAGCTGCTGGAGGCCGTCGCTATGGTTTTTCATTGAGTGTCGCTTCTGCATCGCTTCTGCGTCGCTGGGGCTAGGGGCAGTGACAAGCTCCCACTTTTGTCCTGCAGCATTTGGCCAGTCTGATGATCTGTCCGGATGCACTGAATCTTGAAGGAAACCCGTCAGAAAGTATCAAAATGTCGTGCTGCTGGTCAGTCCCGGTCAAAGGCCAAGTAGAGCTGGTAGACCTGAAGCAAGCCGTCGGCTCCCGTCCCCAAAACAGTGCTTTGACATGTCCACACCTGGTTCTCAGGTGGAGCAGGAAGCTCAAACCGCGCCAGGACCTGATCGGACTCACTCCAGGGTACGCTCTGTGGGAGCGCCACGAAAACGCCTGCGTGATGAAGTCACGAATGGCACCGCTGTTCCAGGTGAGCTGTCCTTATACGGCCGTCCGGTGCCATGGTGGAAAGTAAGGGACTGCAACGACGGTCTCGGAGTACCCGGGGCAGTTCATTTCATCGAACTGGGCCTCTGTTGCAATCCAAAGGGCGTTTAAGGGCGGTTGCAGTCGGGGCATTGCCGCGGTCAAAGAAAGGTCTAAAAAAATAGAACAAAGAAAATCGCCCCTAGTAGCGTCCTTGCTCCTAGTAGTAAGGCCATGAGCCCCTAGTAGCGTTCTTGTTACTAGTAGTATGGCCAGGAGCCCCTAGTAGCGTCCTTGCTCCTAAGAAGTGACTTTAGTTGTCTTGAAAGCTCGGAGGTTGTGTGAAGGAAAGCCCGGAGATTGTGTGAAGATCCAGCAGCAAATTCTGCACTTCCTGAGCGCATGGCCAACTCCTTCCCGGTCAATGCTCCTGCACTCCCAATGCAACACCACGATGAATGTGCTCGTATCAAGAATGAGCAGAACAAGCACACCTCTGAAAGATTAGATTCAAGATTCCAAATCAAGCCTGCATCAAGTTCGTCCAAATGGTCACATCAAAAGAAAAATCCACCACTCTCTCTTCATCAAATATCATGGAACAAGTTTGGTCCCAACATGAGCGTTGATATTCCCAAATTAAATTACTTAAACATGAATCCTTTCGATTGGTACGTTTGCGCCTTTCAAGTTCAAGTATTCGGCCTGAAAGTTTCGGTCGCGACTTTGTTGAGAGAGCCATCCTCCACACACTGGACCTGCATAGCGTGATGGAACCCCAACAATGCCTGCATGCAAACACCCATAATTACTGGACATCTTCCACCAATCTTTCCGCTCCTTTGCCTGTCTTGCACTTTTGCTACGAAACAGCTAATGAACTTGTCTCCAAATTGTCGGGAACCGTCATAACCTTAAACTCTTTCCCTTCCTCCCTTCCCCAACACAACCGAACGCACTGACGGCCACCGTCACCGCCCTGACCCACCCGGCGCACCATTTGGGGGCGACGCTCCACAATCACTTGAGTACTCAGCCATCTGGCCTCAGCTTCTGAGCGCAAAGTTCACTGAGCAAAGCTGACCAAAAAGCATCTAACGGACAGAATGGGAGAAAATCCCTTGAGTCGAGGTGAATGAGGGTCCAGAATGTTTCGACAGAACCGAAAATGAAGGAAAGTGTCGCTGTGAAATGGTGTAAATGAAGGTGTGAGGCTCTCTAGGCCCAAGAGGCCTTACATGGCCTCAGGATTGCGTTCTCTCGCATTCTGAAGTCCAAGCCCTAGACCTAAACTTAAACGACCTAGGAACGAATTGGGAATGACCTAGGAATGAGAAAGTGCTTATGTCTGTGCGTCTGTGTGTGTGTGCGCAAACGATCAAATCCACAAAGTGGTGAACAAAGGATCTGGAACATGCAGAGGTTGCTGATGTTTGGAAGACGGTGTGCTGTCCAAAGCCAGTTACTGGCCTTCTACGAAAAGGGTTGGATCGAAAGTCTTATTTTGCCCCGGTGGGTGCTCAGTCCTCCTCTAGTTGGAGAGTTGCAGGGTCAGAGTTGCTCCATAGGCGTGCAGCAATTTGGCTAGAACCAATTTTTACAAACGCATGAGCTCATAAATCTCATAAGATGCACTCTCAGAACAGGAGGGCCACATGTGCACACAAAAAATGCAACTTCGGTGGATAGCTTCTGTTTTGCAGCTGCTCAGCTTGGTACATCGTTCGGCCGAGCGCTGCCAGTCATCATTGTCTGTGAGGGCTGCAGCCGAGTAGAACCTGCGAGAAAACACAGGGACCCACTAGCTCCTGGCATTACTACTAGGAACAAGGACGCTACTAGGAGCAAAGGGCATCGCCCATCCTCGGTTCTTTGACTTCTCGGGAGGGACAGAGAGAGCCCGTCTTTCACACTCCGTTTCCCTTTCAATGTCAATTTTGCTTGTTGTTATACTTGTTGTTATAGCTTCCTCGGGGCATGGTCGATTTGGCACCTAGATGTCGATTTGGACCTTTGTTGTCTTCCTTTTTAGCCTTTTCTCTCTTTAAGACCTTTTTCGTCATGGATGAAGACAATTGGTGAACCTTCAACAGTGGTCTGTAGGATGGCCCAAAAAGAGAATAATGCACCGCAAGTCGTGCATCATCTGCAGGCGACCCTAGAAAATGCAACCCTTCCACTTCCACTCATGCGGAATGCCTGCTTCATGAAACTCAGACATGGTTTTGACCAATCTCTCTCTCTCTCTCTCCTTTTGTGTTTTACATGTTGAGGGTGTTGGCTTTCTCCCGTTCAGCTGGTGTTTGCATGTGGTGCTGACTAGGACTATATAGACCTGACATCAACCCCTTTATGGGTTGCCAGTTCCGCGTTAAAGCACCCTTTGATGAGGACCCGCAAACAACTGCAGAACCTTTCCCCCCAAGGTCGGGTAGCAATACCTCAAAAAAGTGACGCCATTGTCTTTTGATGTCTTTTGCCTGTACCCTCCTACGGCCTTGTTTTCGAGAAAGCATTTAGACCGTTTCCATTTTGAATGTGAATCCTTGTCTTTCCTGATCGTTCTTTGGACTTGAGACTCTAGACATCTTAGACCGTGGACCTTTTGTCTTCCTGCCCCAGGGATGTGCGCTGACCGCTGCCAAGTCTTTCTTTTATTTGATAGATGCGGAGGCATAGTCCCAACCGGCGTGGGCCTCTTGCCTTAGCTTTCAGGAGATGTTCAATGGCTTTGTTCTTACCACACCCCTCCGATGATAAGTGCCAAGTATCAATAAGAGCTCGGTGATTTCGATGTGTGTTTGATCTTTGCTCAATGGTGAGGCATGTTTGTGATGCTGCCAAGTTGCCATGGGTTATGACTCTTTCCAGCAGCGCATGCAACGCGGCACGCGGGTGGCATTGCAGCAGGGCAGCCCAGGCCGGCCTTCTGAGATCAGTGGAAAAACTCAAGTACAAAAAGCTCAATAAAAAAAAAACAAACACGTTAAAGTTAAAACGCTACGAGGTTGGAGTCCATCGCTAAGTTACTAGGGTGGGGGCCATCGCTATTAGGTTGGAGGCTATCGCTGTTAGGT